AAAAATAAATAAAATAAGACTGATAACCTAATTTTTAAAATGGGGGAAAGACATGAAAAGACTTTTCACAAAGGAAGACATTGGGATGGTCAAGAGACACATAAAGAATGTCCAAAATCACTGGCCATAAGAGAGATGCAAATCAAAACCACAATGAGATACCATATCACCCCAGAAGTAGCACTCAACAGGGCAACAAGCAATGAATGTTGGAGAAGATATGGAGAGATGGGAAGTCTCATACTCTGTCGGGGGGGATTGTAAAATGGGACAACCACCCTGGAAGGCAGTTTGGCATTTCCTCAAAAAGCTGAACACAGAAACTCTGTATGATCTAGTTATTCCACTACCAGGAATATACACCATGGAAATGAAAACTGAGACATAAATGGAGATTTGTACACCAATGTTCATAGTAGCATCATGGAAATAGCCCACATGTCAAACCACAAATTAATAGATTGAGAAATTGTGGTACATTCACACAACTAAATACTATACAGCACTCAGGAGCAACGATTTTAAAAAAATACTACATAACTTGGGAGAGACTGGAGAGTATTACGCTGAGTGAACTAATTCAGTCTCATAAGAACAAGTACTGTATAAGACCATTATTGTAAAAATAGAAGGATAACTAGTAAAACATGTATGGGGATCCAGGGCAGAAGGGGTGAGAGCAGAGGGGTGAGGATGAGTAGGGGTGAAATCACAGGATTATACAATTTGGTGGGTGGAGAGAGGGGGTACAAAAATGGAAAAGATCTTGTGGGGACCTGAAAAGACACAGTAATGGTGGGCATAGTCCAATGGTTATTAATTTTATAAAACATAATGAAATTATGTTTTATTTCAAATGGGAATTATTGTATGAAACACAATGTGAATGAAGAATAGTGTGAAACACAATATATACAAATTTTGTAAGTAAATGTAAAATAAAAATTTTAGAAACAAAATCAATGATGCTTAAAAAATACTTCATGTTTATTCCCTCCAAAATAAATAAAAGTAACTAAGAGAGATATTCTATGAACAGTTATTTCTACCATGTTAAAAACTATAAATTCCACTAAAAATCCTCTTACCAGCTCTTGCTGAAAGCTGACCACTATGTGCAGCCCAGTAGCCCTTCACAGGAGATGGGCACTTCACGTTACAGGTGTGTCCAGTACCTAACTGTCCTCTTGAGCCACAGCCAAATGCATAGATGAGACCAGAAGAAGGCACGAAGGCTAGGGTGTGTTGTCTGTGGAAAAACCATTAGCATTAATTTCCTAGCATAGTTCCCACTAATCTGGATACAAAAACTCGGACTCTTAGTTTCCACACAAGGGTCCAGTAATTCCGGGGTGTGTCCTGATAAACCTTCCCCAGGTGTACACACCCACTAGTCAGTTCGTATTGCTATAATTGCTTCTCCACAAAACTGTCCTCCAGGTTAAAGGAAGGACAACAAGACTTACAAAGAGCAAATGATCTGCTCCATTTGTACGAAAGGGAAGGGAGCAGTGCAGACATGGGCAAAATTTCCAAATGTTCTTTGTGACAATCTCCTCTCCTTTTTTCATCTCCTCATGTCCTGATGTCCTCATCTTAATTGTTCATGTAAAAACCTTCCTTGCTATATTCAACTCAGATACGACTTTCTACAAACCTTAAACATGATATTATTGTTATGTTCCATCAAGTCGCTTGCGACTCTTAGCAAAGCTATGTACAATAGCTCTGAAGCCTGCCATATCTTGAGCCAGTCTCACTGTCTCCTACACACTTATCCCATTACCCCAGGTACTGTGTCAATCCAACTCATCCAGTGTGGTGTACAACGAAGAGTTCTTAAAATAATTATGGTTAAGGAGACCTGAGGGCACAGTGTTTGGGCTCTCAGCTGTTAACTGGAAGGTGGGAAGTTCAAATTCAGAAGTTGCTCTGTGGGAGAAATATGTGGCAATCTGTTTCCATAAAGATTACAGCTTGGCAGGGATCTTAAAAGCAGAAGTAATAATGGGAATAATCCAACAGTGATTAATTTTACAAAATCAACGGGAATGATTATATGAAACACAATGTGAATGATGGATAGCATGAAACACAATGTATACAAATTTTGTATGCACATCAATACAAAATAAAAATCTTTACAGCTTTGGAAACCTCATGGGACACTTCTATTCTGTCCTACAAGGCTGCTATAAGTTTTAGACCTGGCACACAACAGGTCTAAACACACTCACAGAGCTCCAAATAAACCACCGCAGAGACAAGATCCATTTCTGGATTTGTAGTAGATAGCAAGAAACACTTACCTGCCACAAGCAATCTGAGTTACTTCACTGCCCATCAGCTCTAGGACTCTTCTTGGGTTAACTTCATCATTCATGGAGTCATGTCCAAGTTGTCCATAGGAACCAGCACCAAAGGTAAACACACCTCCACTCTAATAAGGAACAAACACCACAGGACTTCACCGCATCTCTGAGAACACACACTTCTAAAACCTTCTGTATACAGAATTCACATTACAAAAGTCTGTCTAAGAACACTATGCTCATTTGAGACTACTTACTACAAATCAGTTCTTGGAACACTCATTACATAGGAAAACAATGATAAAGACGTTTAAGTCTGTAACTTAATGGAGCAAAGATGTTCAAGGAAATATGTTCTCTCTGTAAATTCCAAAAATTGTTTGATAGTCCATTTTTTTATTAAGAGGCAAACAAAAAACAAGGAGATAAGTGACATAAGTTGATTTTACAAAGTGTTCCATAAACTATTTCTTTTTTTCACAGATACTTGAACAAACGCTGAGACATTTTATGAAAGTAAATCTATAATAGCATTCAATATAAAAGCGCATTTTCATTTTCTTTAAAACTATGTTTAGAAATAACTATAACATGCTTGGAATGGTAGAGGGTCAAAGAGAGAAAGGAAGACCCACTTATAAGAAGGGTTGACATGGTAACTGTAGAAATGGGCTCAAGCCTATCAGAGCTCATGAAGACGGCACAGGATAGAGAAAGGTTCCAATCTGTTGTGCAGAGGGTCACTATGAGTTGTACTTGATCTCCTCCCCTCGCCTCTGAAAACCTGCCGGAGGGTCAGCTATGTGTACTCTATGTACACAATAACAACAGCAACAACAACACATTTAGGAGGGGGAAAAAAGACTGATAATTATAAAACATATTGCCATTTTATGCATTTAAATTGCATTTGTATATACCTAGAATTAAATTTTATGTTTTAAATAGCATTTTAAAAAACAGTAACAAATCAAGTTGATTATCACTGAGTTGATTCCAACTCATAACGACCTTGTAAGGACAGAGTAAAATTGCTCCAGGAGGTCCCTAAGGCAGTCATTTTTATAGATGCAGAATGCCATGTTCTCCCACAGAGCAGCAGATGGGGCCAAGCCATCAAAAGAACATTTTAAATGTTCTCTTTCTTTGTAACATTTAAAAATAATCCAGTTACTGGCCTAGTGCTTCAGCACTGCACCACCAGGGTCCCATTAAGTGAACCCAGAATGCTGTTTTAAATACTGTATTTTAAGAACATTTACACTAGATTATTTTTAAATCTAAAAGATGTTAATTAAAGACGCAAATATAAGCATAAGGAAAACAACCAAACTGAAGCTCGATACAGTACTATAATTAAACATCACTCATTCACTCACTCATTCATTGCCCTGAGTCAGAAGTGACTCATAGCTGTTTGTCACTCCTTTCTCCTGACGAGCTTCCTGGTGGATTCACAGTGCAACTCCCTACAGATGACACACTAGAGCTCCCTAACACCATCACTAATCTTTCTAAAAGATACTATCAACATTAAGCAAGCAATGCTATTCACCCACTCATCTCATAACCCAGCACACCAAAGCACTACAGGACATCGGGGCATCCCGAGCCCTTACCTTTGTGAGGACTGCTGTGTGTTCTTCTCCACAACTTATATACACAACCTTCTGTGTTCGTAAGAGCTTCACGTGACAGGGAGACTCTCGATCTAGAACAAGAGAAATAAATATGAGAGTGTCATTAGCATTTTGCCTCTGAGACAAAATATATCCAGCCACCATCTTTGTTTAGAGCAGGGGGATCATTTTGGATTCCTGACTCAGAGATTTAAATCCTTGTCTGCATCTCCACCTGAGTGTCAGAGCAAATGAAATATATCTAAAACCTATATCACAGTTTCCACACGGTTTCCAACTTTGCTCTTTTCACCAAATAGCTTCCTCATTTTAATCAACAGGGTCTTTCTCCTTCTAGCTCCTCCTCTGTTTATTTCAATAATGAGCAAACCCAGTTGATTCCATAGTTAAAATACAGTCACTTTCACACCCTCTAAAATTAGGTATTTCCCCTACTAAGCTTATCACTGAAAGGAAAACTATTAGCCTGCCCTTCAAATCACTTCAAACTTGAGTCTATACTACCCCTCTGACCTCTGATCTGCTACTGTTCCCTTTATTCACCACAATCTTAGCACCCCCATCTTCTGGCAGCAGAGCCTTGGCACATCTTGGTCCCTTTGATTGAAACATCCCCTCACTCCATCCACAAGTATTCACATGGCTCATTTTCTCCCTCATTTCCTGTAGGTCTCTACTCAAACATCTTTTTATCAGTAAGCCCCTCCTTAACTACTTTATATAACACAGGAAGCTTCATTCCTAAACTCTGTAACAGAACCCATATTTATTTGTAGTTTATCTCTAGCCACTAGAACACAATTTCCATAAAGCCAAGGATACTATCTGTTCTGTTCACTGCCATACCTTGTGAACTAACACAGAGTTGGCACATAGTAGATACTCAATAGACATGTGTTAAATTAGTAAATGTGCTTTTTTTTTTTTTGTAAATGTGCTTTTGAACAGGTGCTTTGATGAGTTCACATACCTTTTTCATCACTGAGTCCTAGCTGTCCTGCATTATTCATCCCCCAGCTAAAAACAGCTCCAGAGAGAGAGAGGGCAAAGCTGTGGGCCCCACCTGCAGCCACCTGAGCCAGCGGGATCCCCTCCAGGGACCGTACCCGCTGTGGGCTGGCTTGGGAAGGGAACTCCTTCCCCAGGCCTAGCTGACCATGGCTGTTCTTTCCCCAAGTGAAGAACTGCCCATCTGAAAAAAAGAATAGGACACCCGGTATTACGAGCAAGGATACAGGTTCCATTCATAAAAATGATCTACTTAAAAAAATACAGCTGCCCAGCAATGGTTTGTTAGTCAGTCCCTCCCATGAGCCCCACTTCAGCGCAAGGGAACAGAGATATTCCATTCTATAATATAGTCAAAACCAAAACTCTTATTTGTCATGACAGTAGAGAGAGGAACTATGTCATTCTGTTCTTTCAAAGACTTTAACATATACGCAAAAAATATGTTTAAGTCAATTCCATTTTGAATAGGCCAATATTGGGCTCAGATCCTCTAAACAAGTGTAACTAGTTCTAATGTGCAATAAGACCATGAGATGAGGACTCTGAAGTCCAGCTCTGATGACCTGGGTCATTCCTCAGAAATTTGTTCTAATAGAGTACTGCATATACAGATATACATTTCTTAGTCTCTTTCATACCCATTTATATGGGAGCATAAAGGTGGAAAAATAGCTTGGTGATGGGATATGACAAGTAAAAACTAATCTTTTATAAGCCTGAGAACACCGATGTAAGGTCCTACTTATTTTCTCATGGTAGAGAAGTCAGAACAAAGCAGTAATTTCCTTTATCACTGATAAAAGCATTAGCTATGCCAAAGGCTGTCTGAAAATTGCCACTGTCCAACAGGAATGCTGTTCCCAGTTAGGTTACATCACACAAAAACAAAAAGAGAGATAGATGCTTTCAAACTTAGCATAGCATTAGCATACATTTAATGTTACATTACCAGCTGCAAGAGCCAAGCAATGCCAGTTGCCACAGGAAACTTGTAATATTGTCTGCTGGTTCAGCTTTTGTATTAACCTAAAACAGAAAAGGCTTTCTCCTTAAAAAGTGCATTGATACTCCAGTACAGTTATAAAAATATTCCCAACTAAATTAAGACTTCAAAGAACCATTTTTACCACAGTGGTTAGTATTCCACAGCCTAATGAAAGGTCTGAGATTGGACCTATTCAGTGGACCTACAGAAGAAAAAACTTAATAATCTTATCCTGCTTATCCTAGGCTATGCCTTCTTCTTGTTGTTGTTATGTGATGTCGAGTTGCCTGAGACTCATAGCGACCCTATGAACAACAGCACTAAACCTTGCTCTAAACCCTGCCAATCTTACTGTCTCTGATATACCTATTCCCTGGCAACCACTAATTTGTACTTCATTCCTAAAATTCGGTCAATTCAAAAATTTTATATATATTAAGTAAGTATCCTTTTGGGAGGTGTTGTATGTATTAGTAGTTTGCAGAATGCTACATTTTTTTTTTTTAATGAGAAAATGTGCAATTGTCTGGGGGAGTAAATTTTAGAAGTTGTTAAATAGCAACAACCTTTCTTTCTGGCCTGTGTTTACTCTAGGTCTTGCAGGGCTCCGTTTGTGGTCACCATTGTCACAACCCTCAAAATCACAGTTATGGAAAGAAAGCAGGTCAAAGGACCAAGGCAAAAACAACAGGAAAACTGGAGCTTGCCCACTCATCTCGTTCTCCTCTACCAATAATTCTGTAAGATATGGTTAGGCAGCAGAGGCTTACAGAAGCTAAACAATGTGTGCAAGCTTGCTCATCTAATGAGTAAGAGTGCTAGAATTAGAATCCAAGGACATATGCCTTTAAAGACACATTACTAAGCATAATACTTTGGTATGGATTAGTGGGTTTATTTAATGTACTAATCCAAGCCTTGGACACCACTCATAATTTATAAATTACAAATAAAAATTAAATTACTATTACAAACATAATATATCAATTTTGGAAATGAAATCCCATTAAAACCTTTTACTTGAGTTTTCCTTAGGTCATCAACAAATCAAATAATTTTGTCAATATTAGAATACTTCCCCCCAAGTTATACACAAATTAATTAAAACAGAGTCCTCCCTCTTTCTCACTGCCACTCTCCCTATCCTCCTATATTCAGATCACTCTTGGAAGAAGCAAACATTACTAGTTACAAATGAGGAATGAATGAAATCATTCTTAACCTTTACTTGCTTCTTAAAACAGCTCTGCACTGTCCTTTGAAGGGGACAATAACTGGACAGAAGGAGAAGACATTTACTAAAATATCTTGTGTTGCATGATGTTATGTGTTGCCCACCTTAGCAATGGTGATGTGAAAATGAGTAATCCAGCATTTCTGTCATTTGTAGCTGAGTACTGTACAGAAACAGACATGAAGTAATTACAAAGAATTTAGAAAGTATTAGAATATGGATCTGCACGCCTCTGGAGTATAAATAAATAGTAATCAAATGAAATAAATGAATTAGTGGCCTCTTTGTTTATTAAGAGCCCATAACAATCTGAAAAGTGACCCTAATAAAAATCCATCTGCAAGTACAGTATCTTACATGATAATGCAATGGCTTTCTGGTTAACTTATGTGAAACATTTCACTAAATCATCTAAGATTTAGATGTAAGTAAATAAACTATTGTATTTGTGTTGAACTAAAGAACCTATCCATGCTGGGCTATATTTTGACTGTTTATAATGCTTAAGGTATTTTCCCTATTATTAGAGTAACAGGTCAGACTGGTGATTCTATTTTAAAATGCTTAATTGTGTAATTGATTTATACCTGCAACCTTAACTTGAAGGTAAATAAATACAGCTTGAAGAGAGAAGTCTTTTTTTATTCACATATTTATCAAGTGTTATGCCTATGCCAAACGAGGTGGGTTTTCAGAGGCAGTTAATCACACAGGAGGAAACTGCCTGCCCATCCTTCTCCCACAGAGCAGCTCAGATCCGAACCACCATCCCTTCAGGATTGCAGTGCAGATTCTTACCACTAGGCCACCAGAGCCCCAAATTATACTAAATTTGGGAACAAATTAAGAATAGTTTCCAAGAAACTCACATTTTTGAACAAGAAACAGACAGCTATGTAAACAATGACAAGTGTTATAATAGTATAAAGCACCACAGCAGCACAAAGGAATTAGGAATTCAATGAAGGTAAGGGATGAATAACAAGGAGTTTAACAGAGCACTAGCAAGAAAGAATATCCAAATAAACTGACATTTGAAAACTCAGATTCACTTCTGTGAATTCTTACCTAGGTACTGCTACGGAATCCTCAGTGGTCATGAGCCCGAGCTGTCCATCACTCCCTGCACCCCAAGAAAAGAGCTGGCCCCGGTCACTGAGGGCCAGACTGTGGGACTCACCACATGCCACATGGACAATGTGTTGATCTGCCAAAGCTCCAATTTGCTCTGAAAGAGATGAAACCAAAGGAGAAAAATGTGCAGTCTAGAAAACAGACATATTGCTGTCCTTACACATAACTGCCAGGTTTGTTTTCGAGATAGAAACACTAAATCTGTTTATTTAGAGAGATAATACATTTTAGATACTATCTTTCTAAAAGCAATCAATTTAGGTTCGAGCTACATGAGGTTTCACACATGTCCACTGCGGGACACAGATCCCAGATGTTACCTCAACCAATAAAACTATGTGTTTGGCCTCTTTCAATCCAGAGGGAAGCCTAAAGGTTTACAATTTAGAGATGTTGAATCAGAAAGGTCTAAGCAAGACTGGAATGAGTTAAATTATTGCAAGCATTGATACTGAGTGAAATTTTGTCATTCTGCCTAGGAACAATGAGACAACTACACAAACACACACACAAGATACCTAACACCTCAATCAGTTCCAGAAATGGGGTCTCCGTCTTCTACGTAGCAAACTAGAAGACAGGCAGATTTCGCTTTGGGAAATCTGGGCCAAGAGAAAAAAAGAACTCCACAGACACTGATAGTTTTAAGTACCACAATGAGATGTCCAACTTTGCACCAGCTGACACAAACACTCAGCTTTCAGCATCTTACTTTTTAACATAAAAGGCCTGCCAAGGATCAATACATAAGTCAGAGGGAACTTCAACATGAAAGAAAGGAGTAAAGCAAACAGAAGAAAATAAACTCTAAAGAAATAGATCATGCAGGGAAAAAAGTCCTTTTAAAAAAAAATCCTTAGAGAGTACCATATAACAGATGATGTTTTAATCCTCAAATCAAGAAGGTGCTATAGAACAGGAGCATTCAAGTAGACAAAAAAATAAGCCAGGAAACAAAAACATCCCAGAAACAGAAAGTATGGTAGTATCAATTGAAAAAAAAAAAAACAACCCACAAACTTTGAAAAGAATTGGAAGATATTTTTCTGGGAAATGGAACAGAGGATTAAAAAAAAAAGAAAATAAAGAATTAGAGATTATTTGAAGACTTCTAAAATCAAAAAATGAGAAAAAAAAACATAGGCAGAAAATCATCAAGAAGGAAGACAAGAAAACCTCTCAGGGACTCAAAGGCATGAGTTTCACTTAGACATACATACTTCTGTTGTTAGGTGCCATCAGGTCTTAGGAATCCAACCCTATGAACAACAGCTCTGAACCTTGTCCTATCCTGCACTGTCCTCTTTATTTGTCACGCTCAAGCCCACTGTGGTAGTCACTGTGCTGACCCATCTTCCTGGAGGGTCTTCCTCTCTTTCTCTGACCCTCGACCTTTGCCAGCATGATGTCTCTCTCTAGCAACTGGCCCTTCATGACAACACGACTGAAGCATGTGAGATACAGTTTCACCATCCTTGTCTCTTAGGAGCACCCTGGTCACATGTCCTCTAAAACAGACTTGTTTGTCCTTTGGCAGTGCACCAGATATTCAGTACTCTTCTCCACCACCACGATACAAAAGCATCAATTCTGTCATCCGTATTCACTGTACAACTTGCAGGTACATAGGAAGTAACTGAAAAGATCATGACTTGGTTCAGGCCCTCCCTAGTCTTTAAACTCACATCCACATTCTATAGAACTTTGGAGAGATCCTTGACAGCACATTTCCCCAATGCAACAACACATCTTTTGATTTCTTGACTGCTGCTATCAAAGCTGTTGATAGTGGATCCAAGTAAATTACTAAACAACTGATAATTTTAATTCTTTCTCCATCAACCATGATGTTGCCTATTGGTCCAGTGGTAAGGATTTTTGTTTTCTTGATGTTGAGATGTAATCCGTCTTAAAGGCTATATATAATCTTTGACCTTCGACATTAAGTGCTTCCAATTTCTCTTCACTTTCTTTAGGATATATTTCATTTTCCACATTGGAGGCATTTTTCTACCTCTGCTTTCTAGGCCTGTTGGTCAGCTGCTCTGGAAATGTTGCCATCTATTTGCTACGTGAGTTCTGTGTATCCTGAATTGAATATATCTTTCTGTAGCCTCAAAGGAAGGTGACGCGCAAGGTAAAATATTAAATCTTTAAGAGGATTTGATTTCTCACTCCTTGGTGGTGGTGGTTGTGCTGTTGTTCAGTTCCACTGAGTTGAGTACATAGTGACACTATGAACAGATCTGCTCCCCGTCTTACCCTTTGCCATCCTCATCACCTCTGACATACTTGAGCCCACTGCTACAGTCATGGTGTCAGTCCACCTGGTTCAGGTTTATCGCTGATCCTCCACATTTCCGAGCATGATGTCCCTCTCCAAGGAATAGCCTCTACTAGCAACGTGCCCAAAGTATGTGAGATGAAGCTTCATCATCTTTGCCTCCAAGGAACACTCAGGCTGCATTTTTCCCAAAACACATTTGTTTGTTCTTTTGACAGTCCATGGGATATTCAGTACTCTTCTTCAATTCCACAATTCAAAGGAATCAGTTCTTCCTCTTTCATAGTTATTCATTGCCCAGCTTTAAAATGCACAGCAAGTGACTAAAAAGGCCACGATCTGAATCAGGCACACCTTAATTATCAAACTAACACCACTGTTCTTCAGTATTTTGGAGAGGTCCCCAATAGCGGATTTGCCCAGCGTAATACAGCTCCTGAGTACTGGTACCAAGGGTGTTGACTGTGCATAAAAGTGAGATGAAATTTTTTACAATTTAAATCTTTTCTCCATCTATCAGGATGTTGCTAATTGGTGAAGATTTTTGCCTTCCTGATGTTGAGATGCATATTGAAAGCTGTAATTTTTTATCATCTGCATCGAGTGTTTCAAGTCTTCTCAGTTTCAGCAAAAAATGCTGTCTCATTTGCATAATGCACACTGTAAATGAGTCTTCCTCTCATCCTGATCTCAAATTCCTCTGTATAAAATCCAGCTTCTCAAAAGATGTGCTCAGTGCAGAATGAGCAAGTATGAATAAGAACCCTTGTGTACACCTTTTCTGATTTTAAACCATGCAGCATTCCCTTGCTCTGTTCTGACAATAACTTCTTAGTCTAGATCTAGATTTTGTACAAGAACAGTTAAATGTTCTGGGATACTCATTCTTCTCAATAATAGCCATGATTTGTTATGGTCCATGCAGTAAATGTCTTTAGTTAGCCACACCTATTCAATTTGTAGCAAACTGGAGAGCAAATCCTCCGAAAAGCTGGACTATATTTAAAAGAATATGACATCAAGATCTAAGGAAGATTCATCAACAAACTGCATTATACTGATCACACAATCTTGTCTGCAGAAAGTGAAGAAAACCTGAAACATTCCCTGCAAAAAATCAAAGATCACAGTTTTCATTATAGATTCTATCCTAGCACCAGGAAAACAAAACTGCTTACTACTAACTAAACCAACAGGCAACATCATGATAGGTGGATCCTCATCATCTCTGACACACTAGAGACCATTCTCTGAAGTCAATGTGTCAATCCATCGTGTTGAGGGTCTTCCTCTCCTTCACCACCCCTCCAACTTTCCAAACATGAAGTCACCATGTCAATCCATTTAACTGTTGAGGATCTTCCTCTTCTTCACTGACCCTCTCCACCTTTCCAAGCACGATGTCCCTTTCCAAGGAATAATCTTGTCTAGCTACATGTCCAAAGTATGAAAGATGAAGCTTCGCCATCCACAGAGCTTTCTTGCTGCACTTTTGCTAAGACATATCTGTTAGTTCTTCTGGCAGTGCTTGGGATATTCAGTGCTCTTTTCCAGCACCACAACTCAAAATCATCAATTCTTCTTCTGTCATCCTTATTCACTGTCTAGCTCTCTGGTGTGTGGTGGTTGTTGTTCTTTGCCATCGGGTCGCTTGTGACCCGTAGCAACCCCATGTACGGAAGCTCTGGACTCTGCCCTGTCCTGAGCCAGTCTCACCAATTCTGACATACCAACTCCCACTGCCCCAGTTACTGTAACAATCATTACATCTGGGGCCTTCCTCTCCTGTGCTGTGCCTCCATCCTTCCAATCATGATGTCCTTCTTCAAGAACCAGTCTCTCCTGGCCACATGCCCAAAGTATGTAAGGCAGAGTTTCAATATCCAAGCCTGGAAGAAACTTGGTTTCATCCTCTCCAAAACAGACCTATTTGTTTTCTTGGCAGTCCATGGCATGTTCAAGACTCTCTTCCAGCACCACAATTCAAAGGTTTTGATTCTTCTTCTATCATCCTTAGTCATTGTCCTGCTCTCTGATATATAGCAAGTAATTACGAATACCATGGCCTCAGTTAGGCACACCTCAGTCTCTAGACGGACATCATTGCTTTTCAGTACTCTAGAGAGGTCCCAGACAGCAGATTTTCCCAATGCAATTCGTCTTTTGATTTCCTGACTGCTGGTGCTAAACGTGTTGAATGTGGACCCGAGCAAGATATAATTGTTAACAACTTCAATCTCTTCTCCATTTATCATGGTGTTGCCAATTGGCCCAGTGATGAGAATCTTTGTCTTCTTGATGTTGAGCTTCAACCCATATTGAAAACTACAGTCCTTGACCTTCTGCAGGAAGTGCTTCAAGTCCTCTTCAGTTTCAGAAGCAAGTTTGAGTCATCTGCATAACGTAGGTTGTTGATAAGTCTTCCTCCAATTCTGATACCACACTTCTCCTTATAAAGCTCTTCTTCCTGAATGATCTGTTCTGCATATAGATTAAAAAGGTATGGAGACAGGATGCATTCCCGATGCACTTCCTTTCCTGATTTTGAACCAAGCAGTGTTTCCCTGCTCTGTTCTGAGGACTGTTTCCTGGTCCAAGTGTAAGTTTCATATAAGCACAAGCATAGAGAACATTATTTAGAATATGGAAGTAAATACTAAACTACTTAATTCAACCAACATTTTTACCTGTTCCAATTAAACTCATAAATTTAAAAATTAAATGCTCTTGTCAGGGAAATCTCCACATAAAAGAGAACAATGTCGCAATTCCTATTGTTCCCATCTGTTTAAAATCTCTACTTGGCTATT